CGGGATGTTGTATCGGGTGCGGTACAGGTTCCTTATGGCCACGCTGGTCCCACACAGGCAACACTCGCCCATGTCCCCGGCCACTTGGCAGGCGAGGCAGGGGAAGCAGAAGGCTCCACAAATACCTACGGGACAACGAGACACGGGTTTGGTTGAGGGGTGCAAAGAAAGAGGAAAGGGGGGGGGAAATCAGTCAGGAATGAGGCTGTGGGAGTCATGGCTCTCAACCTCAGAAGAGAGCTGTTCCACCGCTGGTACCCACAAAAGTGGGGTTTGCGGCAGGGGTGATGTTGCAGAAGGAGCGGGGAAAAAGCCAGAACCACATGATGAGTCAACACCGGGACCGGGGGGTACGTATGTACTCACACACGCCAAAGTCGGAGCAGCAATCAGTCAGGAATGAGGCTGTGGGAGTCATGGCTCTCAACCTCAGAAGAGAGCTGTTCCACCGCTGGTACCCACAAAAGTGGGGTTTGCGGCAGGGGTGATGTTGCAGAAGGAGCGGGGAAAAAGCCAGAACCACATGATGAGTCAACACCGGGACCGGGGGGTACGTATGTACTCACACACGCCAAAGTCAGAGCAGCAATCCAGCAGCCCTGTCTGCCAGTGGCCTACCCGCGGGGTAGCCGAAATCTGGGGCTGAACCGTGATCACGTGGTGAGAGGCCATGGCCATCACAGGGTCAGGTCCCTCCAGGCAGTTTGTGGTCTGGAAGGAAAAGCCATCAGAGACAGATGCTGCAGGTGGTTCTGAAATGGGTGTCTCGCTCAGGCTGCCGCATTTGAAGAGGGGGAAAGGGCAGCACGGGTCCCTGAGGGGTCCCCGCTGCCAGGGCACTGCCATCCCCACCGCAAAGTGGGGGGCACAGCTCTGCCAGGAGCCACCACTGCCCTTTGCAGCGAAGCCCTCCCCAAAACCAGCCCCCCACCAATGGCACAGCACTTCGTCCCCCTGCCTACACCACTAAAATGTCTCTGTAAAAACAGGGGTCCTTCTGCTTCGGAGCCTCACTGCTTCAACTCTTCAATCCTGTCTTCTCATCCCCAGTTCGCCTTTTATCATGATCTGCTTCACACGGTATTTCTTTTTATGTTCGCAGCATCCCAAAGCTACTACAGTTCGGTTCTACCTATCCCAAGCTCTCAGTAGTCATCTTCATCTTTGCTTTGTTCCCTGAGCATCTCAGCCTCCTTGTCCTCCCCTTTCCCTCTCCCTTCCTTCTTCACCTGCTTTCTCAGCAGGCTTCAAGGCACTGCGTTTTCCTTGTCTCTTTCCATCACCCTAAGCCCAGTCATCAGCTCCCATCCCTCCTCTACTTGCCTGTCTGTGCCAGTGCCTCATCCTCCTCTTCCTCAGTTCCCTGGGGTCACCACAGTCCCTGGAGCCCTGCTCCTGCTTATCCTTCCCAATTGAGGGACTGCAGCCTCTGACAGCAGCAGAGATCCTGCTCCCACGCACC